ACTGTTGGTGTACCAATCTTCAATTTCTCAACCGCAACACTTCAAAGTTTTGCCACTCATTTGGGTTAAGGTTGTGCATTGCCTACCCTCTTGAGAGGGTTTTCACGCTTGTTGATAGTGGTCAGAAATGGCAGTTGCTTCAAACAAGGCCAAAATATAAACTTGAAATTTCTGCCTTGTTTATCTTTTTTTATTTATTTGTTTGTACCACCAACCACCGACTTTCGAAATCAAGAGATTAAATCTCGCACAGCTAGATAATAAGAACAGAACATTAGCTAACAATCAAATCACAGTTTTCGTGGAAAAATATTTACGTACATTCTATAGACCCCTTGGTACACACTTTGAACTTTTTCTGTCAAAACGTTGAAGTTTGATAGGCCAACACAACATGTTGTCATCACGTGCATAGAAGGGTAGATGCAAAGGATGGTACTTGTAGAAAGAGGTGTTTACACAGGCATTAAAGAATTAACCAAACATACAAAATTCAGAAGGTTGTTGTAAGCCTGTGCCTTTTTAATTTGATGAAATTATACTGTCGAGTCACTTTGTTTTCTTTCCTGTTTATTGCTTCTATTTTTTTATTATTATTGGTATCCAAGTTTGTCTGTAAAAAATTCAAGTTCTTTTCGTTTAGTTTGTACTTGTCAATTATTTTGTTATCATCGGTGATCGTTTTTTTTTTTTTTTAATGTTCAAATCATGTAGGAAATAGATGACAATCGTAGATCTGCACAGTCTCATTACGAAAGAGCTTGGATCTTTAGAATGTGGTATGACTTTGATGTGAAATATCCTTTTGTGAAAGAGTTACATTTCTTGCGTAGCATTTTAATTTTGCTTTTGTAACCTTCGCGATATTGATGCTGTTGTATACAGCAAAATGCACTGTGCATGTCAGAAATTTTTTATTGAAACAGCTTAACAAATTAAACTCGTTTGTTTTCGTTGGCATATGGAGGTTTCGCCCATTTCAAGTTCGCCCTCTACCCTCTTTGAGAGTTCGCCCCTGAAGGAAAGCAGGTTCGCCCCACCTATACCAGTTTTATGTCAGGGATGGAGCTATTGGGGATATATTCTTATGCCCATTTCAACTACGCCCTCTACCATTTTTGAGAGTTTGCCCTAAAGCAAAGCAGGTTCACCCCCACCTATACCAGTTTCATGTCATGGATGGAACTATTGGGGAGATTATTCAATACCGACCAATTTAGTTCTGGAATGATTACTTGTTTTGAGTGGATAGTCGCTATTAACTTTGTTATTGAGTTTGTTTTAGTTTTTATCCCATAAACTCGGTGAAAAGGTCTCAACATAGTTATACAAGTCATATTATTTACAATGATTATTGTAAACCATTATCAGAATGGACTCAAGATTCCTGATTCCTGATTCCTTTGTTGGTCAGTGGGTTAATTTTCTTTTTAGAGCAGGTCGCTGAGATAAACAGCACGAATGGGTATTTTTACGAAACTGTTGGGTGATTGGAAACTCAGAGTTAGTTCGTTGTAGGGCCATTTGAAATGCCCCTACAACAAAGTGAAGTACACATCTACGATCATTTCCCATGCTGATTAAAAATTTCATCCAGCCTCTGACAAACAAAAGAGAATGGGGAGAAGAAATAAATCCTCTTCCCTTCTTTTGCGCAAAGCAGAGCACGTTGCTTTGGAGGTCTTTTTATTGCTCTAGGGTAAATGCAGTGAAAGCGAGACTTACTTACACTTCCTTGACAAACTTTATGTATATGAAACCTATTTTTACCAACTATGGCCAGCCTCTGACAGAGACTTTACCAGGATGGTGCGGTCATCTTGCAAGATTCCTCTCAAGATCGCGGCCTGATGCAAAGGTACTGTTTCAAATTTGGGTAGAAGGGTTTTCTAGATAAATGAACGTTTAATCATTTGTCTCATGGAGTGAGAGTAAGGCTAATCAATCGTGTGTTGAGCGCGACGTTAACACTGCTACACTGCTAGTCTTTGTCAGGCGACGAGGTTGGTAGTTTACATTTTGCCGTCTATAGTACCTTACCTTGTTATTTTGTTATAGGTGTGTCACAGCGCGCTTTTATTGGTGCATTTCGATCATTATTGTCATTCCGTCTATTAGATATTTGTCCCTCATAGTTGGGTTTTGTTTCTGATCGGCTGTCATGGTTTTTGATAGTTTGCATCCATGTTTCAGGGATTTCGATTCCGTTATCCCTACTCTCGTTCTAAGAATAAAGCCTTATGTCAATGACTTATTTAACCCTTCCAGTGCCGGGGAAAGCTATGATCAGTAAACCTAATCTGGCCCTTAACAGGAACGTGTCCTTTTTCATTGTCGTGTTCGAAATCGCCGAATTGTGAGCGCGAGCTAGCGCTATATCTCTTTCATGGTTTTTAATTCTCTCTTTCATCGCAACATAAGTGGGAAATGTTTAAAACGTAGATTACATGTAGCTGTGCGTAACAGATGTAGTTTTTGACATGTTTCGCGAGAGAATATGTGCGTGCAAGTCACCCTTGTCATGTAACTCACAGGTAGATTAAGTATAAATATAGTGTGTCACTGCAAATGTTTTGCATTATTTTGTATAATAACGTTCATCTATTTAAACCGCCATTTGCAACCGTAAGTAGACAACTATAGGTGTTTACCCCAGCCTGCAGTGCAGGCGTCTCGTTAGGACGAGTTAACGTGAAGGAGCGTGCAAAAGTTTATTCAACCGTAAAGACAACTCTTTACGGTGGCAAATTTACGTTATCAACTCATTTGATAATACTGAATTGCCCTGTTAAGCTCTTACGGGTTTTGTTTCAATGTAGGCAGAAACAGAACTGAGTTTTACCGACGAAGATACGGTCAGACTTGCCAGCGGCATTGTGAAAAGGGGTGAGCCGCCTGATCAGATAATGGAAGGAGATGTTGAATTAGGTGCTGTGCAAATGACAAGCAGAGCATAAATCATTTTCATCAAACCGAAGGTTTCTGTAGGTATTTAGTTGCTAGTTGCTCGGTCTGGTCAGGTAGTTGTGACAGGATGTCGACTTAAAGGAGAGCTTAAAGGAGAGCTTAAAAGCTGTCTCTATTACTGTGAAAATCTTTGATTGTAAGCGAGCTGTCTTTAATTGTTAAATTGTAAGTAATAAGAGTGTTTGGAATACGCACATTGGTCAATCAAGGCCAATTAATTGGTTCGGTCTTACATAGTCTTGTAAAAGTTTAAAAGATTCCGCTCCTCGTGATTAGTGTTATATCGTTATTGACTTTCTATCGTTATTGACACTCTGATTGCAGTTTTTTTTTACCCGTTTATTGAATGTACAATTTTGAAATAGTCTTTCCTCTCGTAACACTTTATTGGAGAGGAATAATGTCTTGATGGTTTGAAAACATGTTAAGTTCAAAGCCGCATGAGAAGTGGATTTTTTTTACAATGTTAATTTGCTAATTTGCTATAATTAAATTTAATTTCAATTATGTTGTTGAATAAAAATTGGGATAGGCTCACAAAGTCGTGGTTCAAAAGTGACCTTGGAAAAAAACTTGAATTAAATTTCAACAGAGTCTTATTTTACTGATTGTACCCGTTGGGGGGGTTAGTTTGTCAATTTTCTTCTGACTCATGCCTAAAGCTATTAAACGTAAGTAGTTTTCCTAAAAATAAGTATTACTCCTTAAACTTTGGAAGCTTTTCATTTCTAATTTTCTACCTGTTCATAGTGAAATCGGTCACATCTGTTTTACTTTAAATAAAGCGATATGTAAGAAATTGTACTAGAAAGGATTTGAGTAATTCGGTTAATTCGAATTTAACATTTTTTTAAAGAAATTCGTATCTACTCCACTTTGCCTTCGACAAGTTAAAAATAAGATTTTGTCACAAAATCGCTTAGATTGTGATTAATTGAATCATCCATGGAACACTGTTTTTATCCAAGTTTTTTTATCCTTCACAGCTTGAACGTCACTCTTTAACGGCACTTTAAAATAGTTGTACCATAATCCTCAATGTTTAGTTGCTAGTTTTAACATATATAGTAGATCTTAAGAGAAAGATACGAACTAAGCCACCAGAAATTTGTAAGAAGAATTTTATTTAGCGAAAATTAACTTCAATAAAATAAAGATTAATAGTTTATTCTCAAATTTTGTATGGTTTCGATTTTAATTGGATTGTATATATTTTTTTTTATATTGTTGTTGGAGTTGTTGTTGTTGTTTTTTTTTTCATAACTAGACTAACCTTTGTTTGGTGCATATGTCTCACTCACTCAATTTTGGATGGTAAGACAAGATTACATATCACCTTTATTATAAGGGAAAACTTTTTTTTATGCTGGTAAATATTTTAATTTGTTATTTATATAGTTCTATATTGGTTATAGCTGTCTTGAATGCACCACATTGGTATCGTCGAAAGCAGATTGAAAATGTATTTTTATTCTTTATTCAATGCAGTACAGAGGAGTAATGGAAAGCTTTTATCCACAAAAGTACAAACAACAAAAAAAGATCTCCTCATGCTTTCGACGGTCATTTTTTTACCGTAATTGTAGGAAAATGGATAGAATCCAATTGTAGTCACCTATTCAGTTACGACTGCGTTCAGACTATCTCCCTGCTGGAGAAAAAATTAAAAATGAATTCCACTGAATTGACTTGTGATAATTTTAAGCCTCCGGAAGCCTCTTCCGTGATCAAAACTCGGACATTATTCGAACAAAAAAATTTCTTCTTTTGGAACAGCATTTTTTGAAAGCCTAAGGCGCTTACAGAAAAAAAGACGATGTAACTCTATTCTAAATATTTTTTGATTAAATTTTAATTGTTGAATAATTTGAGAAAAATAATACAAAATCAAGTGTAACTGGCTGATGGTCCACTTTTAAACTTTTGAATATATGTCTTTTGACCATTCAAATCACGTCCCCGACAATGATGTCGATTAACTAAACGTAAAACTTGCAATACATTTTCCATTAAATGCTTAACTATCCCGAAACTTACTTTGTTTTGTAAATATTGGGTTTTTTTTTCACAAACCCTCCCTTAGAACTGTATGTTACATCCAGTGATAGGTAACGCTGCATCTGCGAATATGATGCGTCACTGTTCGTTTTGTTTGTTTTCTTGCTCCTTCGGAAACTGTGAAAAATATTCACGTTGGCCTTGTTGTCGCAGAATTCTGACCTTGATTTTATGCTAGTCAGATCTACTGACCTTCTCGCTGAAATTGCATTTTTTGCATGTGTTGCCAGAGGGTGAACCTTTTCTTTGCTATTTCCCCATTTGCGCTTCTTGGAACTTTCATTTCGATCTGCGGCAATGGTCGTGAGGTGGGATGAGGGTTCGTACGGCAGAGAATCACATGGAACGAATGAATCACGAGAACACTTGTAAAGCGTTGGATCGGAGATGGATCTTCCAAGAGTCGCTTTAAGTCCCTGGTCAACTTTTCCGGCGGTGTCAGGAGAAGCGGATGTTGTCAATATCGAGCTGGTTGTTTTCCCGTTGTGAGCTGATAGCTGTATTGATGCCTTATCGTTTAATTCGTTTTTCTTAGAGGATTGAGTCGCTTCAACGGATTGTTGAATATTCTTTGTTGTTTTCATTCCCAACAACTCTTTAACGGCGTTTCGAAAACGACGATCTCGGTAGAAGTACAAGACAGGAGTTAATACAGAGTTCAGCTGCACAAATACCTCTGATAATCGGAAAGCGGAGTTCATGCTAAATGCGGGTAAAAAGGTACCCGACGTGGTAATGACGATCGAGGGAACAAACGAAATCAGAAGTCCAGCCGTTAATAAACCAGTTGTCTTGGCAACTTTAGATTCGAGTTTTGCTTTCATCATGATAGTAACCTGGCTAGTTTGGTTTTGCTTTCGCTTCCGCAGTCCGAGGAACAACATGATGTAAAAATATACAGTGGCGAATAAACTAGCCATGACCAGAATGATTCCAAGTGCAAGCCACAGACCGAGAACTGTTCGGTCTACACCAACGATGATCATCGCAACGGTTGGAACCAGTTTGAGGATTGGCAACAGCCAAGCAATGGCTCCGAGATTTTGAAGGAGACGTTTGGTTACTTTGTTCCTGTAGTCCTTCCAACATTTTATGGCCATGTATCTCTCCCAAGCAATTGCAGTTAAGTGATACAAAGATATGTTGGACATTGTGAATAGCAAGAGTTTGTTTACCAAGGAATCGAACGTGCACACATGCTCTACTGAAACCCGGGTAAGCATTAGAACATCGACGATGGCTGACATCGGCATTGTTATAGCTCCTGTTATGAGATCAGTGACGGCCATGCTGCATAGCAAAATGTTGGAGAGCTTTTGCAGTTCTCTGCTTTTGTTCAAAGCGACGACTACCAAAATGTTTAGGACAGTGGTGACAGGGGCAGCAGTGAATATTAGGACAACTAAAATCCATGGTAACGTTGTATTGGTCAAATCCCAGGTGAGGTATGGAGGTTTTTGGCAGAAGTACAATGAAATACTGGCAGAGGTGAAATCATAGCTGACTGTTGTGTTATTTTCCGCCATTCCGTGGCCTAATTTTGTCTAAGTGAGTATTTAGTTCCTGGAATTTTTTGTTTTGTTTGTCTAAGTTTTTGAAAAATTACCTCCACCGAGGCAGTCCTTTCCTTCCCGCTTTTGTTTCCTTCACGATGGCTTTGCCTTGCTTTGACTCGACGCTTTTTTCTTTTCGTAACTCAACAGTAATCTATAAAGGTACATGACAGAATGCGTGAATATAGCTATATTATCGAAAAGCATCAACTTCTATTTTCAAGTTAATGAGACGTTAGCTTAATTTCTTCCTTTTTTCTTTTTCCTTTTTTTACCCAGAAAGATGAACTGTTTGCAAGCCAAAGGCATGGATTAAAGCGCATCTGAGACAGAAATGGTTTTAGATTTAATTTCAAAGCCATTACCATTGTTTGAAAAAAGGTATAAGAAATTAAGGTGCAACTGTTTAATTTTTCTCGATCTTACTTTAAAATGTGTCTTTTGAGAACATTAAATTAAACCTGTAAACACTCACATTTATTGGGCTAAGCTTCCAATTGATTCATTTCGTATGAAGCAACTCTCGGTTTTATTTTCGGCGAAGGGGATTTTCAAATTGGAAATTTTGTTGTTAGTGAATTTAACGATAGAAGGTAGATTACTTACCAGTATATTTGCAACCAATTTCTCTATGTCTCATTTCACCCTACTAGATGATTTTAGCGCGAAAAAATCATGGTGGCCATTTCTTAATCTAGATCTCAGCGTCCTGTACTTTTCAGGAAATATTATTTCAAAGATATAATTTGACGCCGTCGCTAAAGCTTGTAGAAAATGTACATATTGATAAGATTTTCTCTCTAGACTGCCGCTTAAGAGGGCGATTTCTAAAGAATGTCAATCTACCTACTAAAGTAAATTCAATTCAGCCTAAATAGTAATCCACCTTTGCACTGGTTTTGCCATATTACCTTTGTGATTGGTCCGGCAAACTCACTCCACTATTAAATAATCAGGTACAGAACTTAAACAGCTGTTACTTGGACACTGACGTCTTCCTGACCTGAAGGTGATTTAAAGGTTTTTTCCCCTGTTTTCGAATTGGTTGCATGTAATATTTTCCTTTGAGCTCATTTGCCACTATGATTATTTAGATTTCAGTGTTACAAAAGCGTTCCTTTGTATCGTTAAAGGCTTAGTACCCTGAGGTGTGTTTGCGTGGCTCTTTTTAATATGCATGTAAGACAAAAGCAAAAATCAAACCTGACTAAGGGTAATGATAATTGGTTTTTTCAACTGAGTTAATAAATAAATGTGAATTGGCCGCCTTAAAGAGTTTCCAAACATGACGTTTCGTGGGTTCGCTCTTCTTCAGAGCGAGTTAGTTAGGTTTAGAACTTACGAAAGGTTAGCGCTTAACCCTTCAAATTCTAAGAGTGACTAGCATCTAATTTCTCCTCACAATGTCAGCCTTGAATCACACATGAAGCTTATGAGAATAAAGGAAATGGTTACCAGGGAAGGAACCTTTTGATTGGCAAACAAATCCTCCTTGTCAGCACTTTAAGAAATGTATGAAGAACAGTGTGGAGAATATGCATACTGATGTTAGGGTGTAAAGGGTCAAAATGTCGGCCATCGATGACATTCTTTTTTTTTCATGTTCAAATCACATAGGAAGCAGACCACAATCTTAGATCTGCGGAGAATCCTTAAGAAAGAGATTGGATCTTTACAATGTGGCACGACTTTGATGTCAAATATCCTTTTGCGAAAGAGTTACACTACTTGCGTTGCATTTCAATTATGCTTTTGTAACCTTCTCGAGATTGATGCTGTTGTATATTGCAAAGTGCTCTGTGTTTGTCAGAAAAGTTTTATCGAAACAGCTCCAAAAATTAATCTTGTTTATTTTCGTTGGCTTATGGAGGTTTCCAACTCATGTGAAGTTCGCCTTCCACCATCTTTTAGAGTTCGCCCCTGAAGTAAAGCAGGTTCGCGCCCTCACCTATATCAGTTTTGTGTCGTGGATGAAAGTATTGGGGAGAATATTCAAGACCGACCAATTTAGTCCTGGAATGATTACATATTAGTTTTTCTCCCATAAACTGGGTGAAAAGGTCTCAACATAGCTATACAGGTCATATCATTATGATGATTATTGTAAACCACTTTCAGAATTGTTGGTTAATGTGTTAATTAGCTTTTTGGAGCAGTTCGCCAAGATAAACAGCATGAATAGATATTTTTACGAAACTTTTGGGGTTTTTATCATTAAAAAGAGGGTAATTGGAACTTTAGGATTTGTTCATTTGAAATT